CTTCTGGTGCCAAAGAACCACCCATCCCAACATTGTCAGACCCTCTTCAGGGTCTAACAATGCTTTTGCTTCCCCTAAGCAAAAGTAACTCAGGGAACTAGAACATCAGAAATATCATTCTACAGCAAAAGTTTCCTACTCAGGCTGAGGATGGAATGGTGGGTTCTAACAGAGGGTCCTATATTATTAGCAAATGCAGCTTTTTAATTTGTTTATTTAATTCAACTTAAATAGCACCAGACTCTGATTGATTCTGTCAGCTTAGAACATAAATCCATGTTCTGCCTATCTTTATATTGCCCTTTATAATTTTTTCTATCTTCTTTGCCACCAGTGCTTTACATTTAACTACTTAAAGCAGAAAGGTATTTTTACTTTTTTTCTTCACTTTAGTAATGTTTTATTATTTATTAGATTTTTTAAACCCTGCCTTTTATTTATAAATAACTCAAGCTGGCAAACATGTTTAATATTCCTTCCCCCTCATACTTTCCATCTGCTTCCCTAGTGAAGGGAGACTCATTTTCCTTAGTTGCATATCTCAAAGCTTCAAGACTTAGAATTTTTTTTTTATTTTCATTGTTTATTTTGGCTTCCCAAAAGAAAAAAAATTATTAGTAACAATGCTAAATTAATGTGAGCAAATAAGCAAAAGGCGCATTACAAATAGACAAGCCGTTATGACTGAGTTTCTTGGCAAAAGCGGTCTTAAAATGGCTTTCCTCTTTTGTAAAATTAATTGGTCTAACTGTGCGTCTTTTCATATCTCCAGTAAATCCCCTCACATTGAGTGAGACACAGTTTCAGTAAGTGCGTATAGATGGCAACCCAAGCAATGTTTGCCTTCATATATTTGGAGTGATTATTTTACGTATTTACATATTGGCAATACCTTATGTGTTCCCCGTCATACCAGTGAACTGAATGTATTCCAACAACAAATGTTTAAGGAAAGTGACTTAGCACATTCAGTGCCTTGGCAACAATGAAGAGAAGCAACAAACACAGAAATGCCTCTCTGAAACTGAAAGTTCAAAATTCAAGGAACTGTAGTATGTGTCACAACTGTGAAAACTAAGCAATAAAGGAGGATGTTCTAGAAGGAAGCAGCAAAATAAAAAAAGTTTTTAAAAAAGTAAAAAAAAAAGCAAACTTCATGCATAGAAAATAATTTTGTACCCTCAGTGAGGTCATGCCCTGTCTAAGTGATGGATTGTCCTTGCGGATTCTAGGCCATGTTTGATTCAAATGGCCAAAGGGCTACCTCATTTTTTCATAGCCTCTTTTCTCTATAAAAATCTGTAAACTAACACAGTGACTTTGCACTAGTTTGTCCTATTTAGAATGCAAGGTAGAGTTTATATCAGATGATGAATTGGTGTTACACTCACTTGCTGTGGCCAGGAAGAGCAAAAATACAGGGGGGGGGAGGTCACCTTCATTGCTCCAGCATTTCTTACAGATATGGTCAACACTCTGAGAGCTTGATATGATGTACCAAAGCATTATCCTAAGTATAGATTTCAAGCACCGGGTCTACATCTTGGTAAATGAGGTGAATGAACGACATGTTGATTAATATGCAGATGTCTCTTTTGTCAGGGTTCCAAGTAACACCCCCAACGAAAGACGACTCCGAGGCTTGAGCTTCCTCAAAGTTCCATTTTATTAGAGATGTCATATTGGCACATCTGGGAAAACCCAAGTCTGAAAGCTTCCAGGTTTTCCCCACTCAAAGGAACGTTCAAGACCCTGCCCAGCACCCACATGTCCATCACATGGTCCAATCAAAGCACTGTCCCAACTGGAGATGCCTCCCAGTTCCAACTGGTCAGGTTCAGGGCAAGATGTCCTTGACTCTCTGAGAAAGAAATGTTATTATGACTATATATCACCCTGGCTCCATGCAACCCCCATCCCAGTTTCCCACAGTAGGAAACGTGGAAGGTCTGAAGGTCCAACAAAAAAGATGTCTTCCAGGCCTGACACCTTTAGTGAAAATAATGACTAATGGCAGATATGATAGCACTCTTCAAATACCTGAAAGCATATAATGAAGATGTTCAAGGCTTATTCTTTCTCATTCCTGAGTAAAGAATATGGATTCAAGTACAGGAAGGTAGAGTCTGATTCTGTATTAAAAAACTGTTCCATGTTTATGAATCTTCTTAATAGCGAGCACAATTCAGCAGTGAAATTAACAAGCCACAGAGCTGATAGCCTTCCTTCACTCGATGCATTACATAGAGAGTAGACAGTCATCAATGCTTTAACTGAGAATGCTACATTGGCTATAGCTGATTGACCTTTTAAATAATTACATAACAGACTTGCCTGCTTCAATTATAGGACAACATACTACAAAAACTACGCTAACATAACGGCTACATTGTGAAAATGATTCAGAAAATGATTTCTGATGTGGGAGTATAGCACCTCTTTAAAGCACTCATTCCTTTCAGACTTCTCTACAAGCTTCAAAAAAGATAGTTGCTTTTGTGTACTTAGGCTCATAAGGAAATCTAAAAACAGATAGAGTTACTATAAAATAATTGTTTCCCCCCCACTTAGGAAACAATCAGTAAAAGGAAAAGGAACAAGAAAGTTTTTAAAAAGAGTAAACATTTTCCATATTCTCTTGAGAATCTTAGAATAACAGATTTGGAAAGGACCTTGGAGGTCTTCTAATCCAATCCCCTGCTTAGGCAGGAAACCCTACACCATTTCAGACAAATGGCTATCTAATCTCTTCTTAAAAACTTCCAGTGTTGGAGCATTTACAACTTCTGAAGGCAAGTTGTTGCATTGATTAATTGTTCTAACTGTCAGGAAATTTCTCCTTAATTCTAAGTTGCTTCTGTCCTTGATTAGTTTCCACCCATTGCTTCTTGTTCTACCCTCAGGTGCTTTGGAGAATAGTTTGACTCCCTCTTCTTTGTGGGAATCCCTGAGATATCGGAACACTGCTATCATGTCACCGTCCTTCTTTTCATGAGACTAGACATAGCCAGTTCCAGCAACCATTCTTTATATTATCCTCAAGTCCCCTAATCATCTTTGTTGCTCTTCTCTGCACTCTTTCTAGAGTCTCAACATCTTTTTTACATCATGGCGACCAAAATTGGATGCAGTATTCCAAGTGTGGCCTTACCAAGCCATTATAAAGTGGTATTAACACTTTATGTGATCTTGATTCTATCCCTCTGTTTATGCAGCCTAGAACTGTGTTGGCCTTTTTGGCAGCTGCAGCACACTGCTGGGTCATACTTAAGTCATTGTCCACTAGGACTCCAAGATTCATCTCACAGTCATCACTATTGAGCAATGTACCACATGTACTGTATGTGTGCGTTTTGTTTTTCTTGCCTAAATGTAGAACCTTGCTTTTTTTTCATCATTGAATTTCATTTTGTTATATAGCGCCCAATGTTCAAGTCTGTCAAGATCGTTCTGTATCTTAAACCTATCTTCCAGAGTTTTTACTATTCCTGCTAGCTTGGTGTCATCCGCAAATTTGATGAGTTCCCCATCTATCCCCTCATCCAAATCATTGATGAATATGTTGAAGAGTACTGGGCCTAAAACAGAGCCCTGGTGTACCCCACTGCATACCTCCCTCTTACCTCTTAATTTTTGAGAATCTTGAAAGAAAGAGATCCTTTTATGCACAGCCAATTATTTAATATGAATGCATTAGCACAAAGTAAAATATTCTCCCAAGAGTAGCTGGGACATTCTGGGTGAAGGATGTGCCTCAGAACTGTCACTATAAGCAACTGCTGCTGGCACAAAGCTTTCAGATTTCTGCCTGGAATATGTCCTAATAATGTTCCCAATTGTACTCAATTCAGTACAATTTTATTCAGACCTATCCTGTTCAGACTGTTATTATAATTGAGGATTGATAATCACAGAGCAGGGTGTTTGTAGTTGTTGTTTTTCTTTTTGGGATTCCTTAGTATTTTCTTCTTCTTCTAATTTTAGCATTGTACCAAATTCCAGTATTTAACCTTGGAGGGTTTCTGATTTAAAACTCCTTCACCTTCCCAATTATCACCACCCCACCATCATCAATGCCAGCCCTGAGGATTATGAAAATACTGTATATTTTGCAGCAAAATAAAATTCAATGGGTGTAATAAAAATTAAAGGTTGGGTGATAATGCAGAGTAGTTAAAAAATAGAGACCCTTCAAAATTACTTGCATCTCTTAGAAAAATGTAATGAATGTAAACTATTCAGAAAATTTCTTTAAAATGAATTACTTAAGTCCTCTACATATGGGGTTAATAACCTATAGTGTCCTTCATGTATCTTTTAACAGTCCTGTCTTGGTCAATTTTCAGGTCCATATAGGAAAGGAATATTATTACATCAGCCTAAGTGCTAGAAGAAGAAGAGATGACAAAAAGAGAGGAGCAGTTCTATAATGGATTTGCAGTGCTTTTCACAGTTCAGATCAGCCTATGGCCATGATGTACAAATCACTATAGAATAGAGGTAGGAACTTTTTTTTTTTAAAGAGGGGAACTAAGGATACTCTTGATCTCTGAATGACATAGTTGAGGGTCCACAACACCCAAGAAATATACTGGATATGCCCTTAGTTTAAGAGCATTCACATTAGATGTCAACCAAATAGATTTAAAATATAAAATGCTGCAAATAATAAAACAAACACTGACCTTGCTGCCAAATTGCATCACAGAATTCCAACAGAAAGTACAGGGAAGGCACAGAAAAGTCTGTGTGGCCTGCAATTTCCTGATCCTGCCATATGTAAACTTAACAGAGCTAATAAGAATAGGAACTGAGATGCTTATTACTGGAAATGCAGTAACTGTGCTTTGACTATGAAATTTTTATTCTCAGAAAGAATGTGCTGTGAAAACAGAACTTGGATGCATTTTGTGAATATTATATAAGCCATGTCAGAAATGTCTTCGGGCTAGTGTACCTGTTATTTTTACCTTGTATTCTGTCAAGAAACTGCCACTTACTTTAGGCACTTCATATGATGATGTGATCATTTCAGATGTTCATTTTATGGGATTGATAAGGATGGTCTGATAATACATCAGTCTTCCCTTCCTAAAACGGACACAACAAAGATGTGAAATGTAAATGTAAAAAAAGAAAGAAGGTGGGTTCATTATTATTAAAGCTCTATAACATTACAAGCATTTCCTGCTTAACAATGTAAATCATTGGATGGATATTGGTTAGTTATAATCTTTCAGGGCAGTTATGAGATCAAAGGTAGAAGATGGGATTTTTCTTCTGAAAGTTTAAGAGAAACATAATAAATAGCTAATAAAGATCAAATTGAATGCTATTCATTGTCAGCAAATCAAGGCAGGCCAGACTAGGAAGCCAAAGTCATGGGGACCAATATTACTTTTATTGTGAAGTTATAGTAACAGAATCTTCCAAGTTTGAATTCTGACTCTCATTCCCTTTTTCTTTGTGTAAACTAGGGAAAAACTTGTCTGAGATATTTACATGTGTAACAGTTCTGACTCTGACTCAGATTTCTTTTATCTGACCATTGCTTTGGCAAGAAGGCCACTCATGAAAGTGATGTGCTGTAAATCGTAAACGGCAACAATTTCTTGAAAGGCTAAAAAAAGCACAGGTCTTGGGGTCACGTATGTCTTAAATAAGTTTTTCCAAGGGATTTTCAAAGTGCCCTGTCACTTTCTTATACTTTACTGGAATTTATCTTAGAAGGGTAAATTGGAAGTAGTGATTAATCTTTATGCAGTGCTATTAAGAAAAGAAATATTCACAAAGGAGCAAAGAAAAAGACTTGCAAGCAATAAAGTCAATGTTTTTGGAGTTGTTCTCTTCATAACATGATATTCCAGGTGGTAGCTTCTTTTTCTCTTCATCTTAATTTTACTTATTTATTTTGGAAGTTGGGTTATTTCAGCATTATTGGGGATTCTTCATTTTAACCTTTCTATTTTAATTTTTTAATAAATATTTCATTTTTAATTAATTCAGCATAATCGAATTACAAAACACAAAATAAGAACGAGGTGTCTATTAAACTGTGTAGATTGATGGCATTATAATATTAATATAGAATAAGTAGGCCAAGAGGCTTGATTTCATTACATAAATATATATCTATAGCAAATTGTTTTTTAATGGGAGAAAAAAATTAAATTCACATCACTGCAGTACACACCACTGTAAAAAATATTAGTGATAGAGCATTGTGATATAGCACTCTACTGTGCCTTTCTCCCCCCCACAGAGATAATTGAAATATTTAATTGAACTGAATAACAATTATTATTTTATATACTTTTAACAGATAGATATAGTTCAATTAATAGACACTCCCACACACACACAACTATAGTATCTGTTATCTCAATTGTTTTAAGACAGGGTGCAGGACCCAGGATACAACACCTAACTACACTGATGATTAATAATTAATAACAACAGAGAGAATGATCAACCTAAACCAGTTAAAGCTGGAATGAACTCTGTGGCAATTTCAACAAGCATGCATTAACTGACCAAGAAAATCATTGTATTTATTTTATCTGCTTTGAACAATATAGCTACTGTATGCTTTGATTTGAAAAAGCAGGGCAGCGTATTAATATACTATGTATAATTTGTTCTTATATACCTCCCATCCACTTCAGTAAAAGAGAAAAAGACAAAAGAATAGGTTTTTAAGAACAACTTTCTTTAAACTTACAGTGGACAAACAGCCTTAATATCAATAAGTGTGTAACTAGATAAATTGGCATGAGTTCATTTCTTCTCTTCTCCCTCCTCCCCACCCCATTGCCTATCTTTTGGGCAAACTCCTCAGGTTTCTCTCAAGACAGCCAAAACCTTTAAGTCTCCACCACTTTTAATCCTTGAAGCCCTTTTTTAAGTTTGCAGTCCTGAATTGAGTAAATCTCAAGAAGCCTCTCTCCATCTTAAAAACATTATTCAGATATTCACAAAATAAACGTACTGTCAAGCGGGGAAACATCGGGAAGTCCAGATAGTTCAAATGAATAGAAAGGTTTATTGTAAATTTATGGTCTCTACAAGAATCTGAACAACTAACAGTCAAAGCAAATAGGCGGTAGATAAGAGTCAATGGAATTCAAAATGGGCTGAACTCTTTTGGGCATGAAGGGGCTTGAGACTGATGACATGTTCTACCTCTCACCCATTTCCTATATCTATTATTTTTCCAAATAAGAACTGCACTCTTAAATGAATAGATTAACCTTGATGATTAAGGATAAGGAAGAATCAGAATATTTTAAGACATGGAATCATTTTTATAGTTGGTTGGAAAAGAAATATAAATGACCGATATTATAACTATGTATAAATGATGATTATAACATTGCTTTAGCAATGAAATGTTAGAATGGTTTGGACGAAGATGAAGATAGAAAAAACTTATGTAAGATGGAAAAGAAGCCCAAAAGATAACACCGAGATGTCACAGGAAAAGGAGTTGATGTATTAAATGTTTATTTGTTTTTTTAAAAAAAAATACTAAAAAAAAAGGAACTGCACTCTTAAACTAACTGGACACCACTGTGAGCTTAGCATTTTCAACTTAACTAATATTTCTTTTTTTATTTGTAACTATGTGGATATGGAATTATGCCATTTTTCTTGATGCAGTCATAATGTGTAACTATTTGGATTCAATTTCTAAATACAGTCAAACTGAGTTCTGGAACCTGTTTACTTGCAGTTGTTTTACTAACATTAAATTCTAAAACTGAGGTCTTGAACCTTAGAGAATTAAATATATCTTCAGGTTGAGGGATGATATTATTTTAGCAAGATATTGTATATTATATAATGGGTAAAATCCCAAGTGGGAGTGGAAGTTTATAATACTGGGATTGGCTTTTATGGAAGGCATTTTTGACATTATATTTTCAGAAGGGTTTCTGTTTCAGATAATTTGCTTATGATATACTTGGACTACAGATGTGCAGGTAGAATTCTGTATAAATAAAGTATTTTAAAAATAAAACCAGTCAGCTTTTGTAGCAGTTTCTGTACTTATTATAATAATAGAAAAAAATACAATTGCTATACTACACCAAACAAGTACAATGACATAACAAAAATGGGAAAAATCAATACGCCAGCAATATATCTATAGTTATATCTGTATGTGGAACCAGATACAAATATAGAAATGGCACAATGTTTTCATCTTCAAGGCCTAACAAATTTATGATGCCATTACAGAGAAAGGGGAATGTCCAAGAAATAGTTGACATTACATAGGTGTGAGCTTAAATAGGATCTAGAGGATGATAGAGGACAGAAAGGTTTGGGGGAATGTTGTCCATGAGGTCACGATGGATCGGACATGACTTTGCAACTAACAACAACAACAACAACGTGTATATATGTCTGATGGAAAAATGAAATATTCAAGTCCTATTCATGTGAGATCACTTTGCAAAGTTAAAATCAAACCAGATGCTTACTGAAGTTGGCAAACCACAATGATGCATAGCCTAGCTGAGCTGGACTTTAATTTTTTTTTAAGTTCACATTGATTTTTTCTAATTAAATTCTGTTTCTGTTTTCAAGATTAGCTAGTTTTCATACATTTCTTGTAATCTTTTAATTCAGCTTGGTTGCTTTTAGGTACTTAATTTAATTTATTTAAACTAAACATAAACTACATTTTGTAACTTTTTAGGTATAAAGTATGATCCAAAAAATTACTAATTTTGTGGTTCAATTATCTGCATATTAAAAACACCAAGCTTCAATAAATTCTAAATGAATATAATTAATATGACTTGTTTAATACCAGAAAACCCTGGAATGATACATCCCATTCAAAGCTCAAAATCAAGGAGCCCATCAAAAAGATAAAAATCTTCCCTCAAATTTTTAAATCAGTTTTGTGAAGAAGAACAGTGACATTAAATCATATATCTTTATGATATATTACCATTACCATTTTATTATATTATATATTATATATTATATATTATATATTACCATTTTATTTTTAATTTCGGTGTTGATACTTTAATTAAAAAGGAGCAAAAGAATTAAGGAAGAGTGAATACTGAAATAATGAACACATGCCTAATTCCAATATTGATTTATACTGATTTTAAAATCCAGAGTGAATTTATATATACCATATAATTTTAATAGTTGACAATTTCTTTCAGGATTATCTAAGCATACCGTGTTTTCCCGAAAATAAGACCCTTATATTTTTTTGAAACTGAAATAAGCGCTTGGCCTTATTGCCATGGGCTCAAAAGCCCAATTGGGCTTATTATCAGGGGATGTCTTATTTTTTGGGGAGGAAACAGGGTAGTTATCAGTTAGTGATGTCTGCAACTTCATAGTGGAACAGATTGATAAACGTGTTTGTTTGTTTTTTTAAATTCAGTTGAGTTTCTGCATTACAAAACTATTTTGGAGCTGGTGACACCTCCATTAAATATGCAGTTTAAAACCTGCCATCTGTCTATCACTTATATTTGCATAAGAAATGCAATCTTTTGAGAGAACATAAGTTATCTATAAGAGTTCCTTTCCCTCAGTCTGCCTCCTCTCCAATTGTTGTTCACAGATCAAATGACTTATTCCAGTGATCAAAATAACAAATTCCTTGAAGTGCAGTTCATTTCCTCTTTCTTTCTTACGAATTCAGTCATTATCTTCACATTAAAAAATCATTAGGGAATAATATAGGAACAAAGGAGAAAGACAGACCCACTTGTCTATTATTCTGGAAACTTTCTGTCTTCATGACAAATCTGGTAATGCAGAAACAGAAGGATCCGGGTGCTTAACTGTGAACTAACAAATGGCAAATTCAATTGTACTGCCAGCACCTCCAACTTTCCATCATCAACCAAGTGTATAAGTCAAACATCTACCTCCATGGAGATAAGGGGGCTTGCTAAACAAGACACAGAAGCTGTGAATGACATGTGCATTGTATTATTAACCTAACTGGCAAATTTGCTAAATAAGGCATAAAGAGCAATATTTATTGCTAGACTTCAGCAGCAGCTTTATTAGGACTACCAAAAAATTGATGACCTCTATACAGTTAT